CCCAGCGGTGACCTTGACCCGCATCGTCTGTCTCGGCTCCAAAGCCAAACCGGCGTGGAATTGGGAGCGTTCGAGCACTCATGGTCCAGCGCAATTCTCCACCTAAATCCATTCCTGATACACATTTGCTTGCTCATAGTCATGTAACCCCGGTAAATTCACCCAACTTTCATATTGGTCGCTCCATAGACAGATGGCCACAGAGATCAACTTAAAAGGCCATTGTTGCATTCATTTAGTGGAGATCATTAAAGAGCCGTGACAGGCCACAAGTCGCGTGACATCATACGTGTAACGACCAATGACGTCGGCCTGCAAAACCCAATGGAAGTGGCTAGCAGCGTGCAATAAAACAGGGCGCTGCTTTCTAAATGTCTGTCGTGCGCCATAAATGAATATATTCTTTGTAGCCTGGCAACTCAGTATCTTTTTTTAACTATTGTACTAGTATTTAATAATTTCATAATTTTATAATTGTGCTTACGCTTTATGTTGATATTAGTGATAAATCCTTAGATAAAGTAAATCGATGTGATATTTAATAGAAAAATAGCAAACTAACGCACCATTCATTCGAAAGCTGGGGAACCTACTAAAAAGAACTACTAAAATTCCTGAGGAACCAAAGGATCAAATGGGGATTAAATAGACGCCTGCTATTCCGTCGTGAAAACGGCCTGTGAGAACCTTGCCCGCGTCATCTTCGATCCAGACTGGGTCGACAATGCCCGTGCTGCTCACAGCGCACCATGCAGTGCATCGGGGCGGGTGCAGCTGATGTTCTGCGACCTCGTCTGAGGGCTTCTCGCTCCAGATCCGGTTTTCCAGATCAGATCCAGATCCAGATCCAGATCAGCGCCTTTGTGTCAGAACAACTGAATTGGTTTCGAAGTAGAACTGCACTATCTTAGCCTTTTCCTTCGTACAGTAATACGGCATGATGAATGAAAGCACTGATGCTGTCAACTACATAGGGCCTGTTCCATTGGCTCCTCTAACCTCCTCAAAGCTCCTCAAAGCTCATGAAATCGTTCCAGTGGCTCCTCCAACCTCCTCAAAGCTCCTCTGAAGCTCGCCTCAAACCTCCTCTAACCTGCTCCGAAATGAAAGGTGGTTTTTCGGATGAGGCTATGGACGACACAAATGGCGCGGCAAATACAAAACAGATGCACCGTGCTTCCTAGTTATCGGATGAAACTAGGCAAGTTAGCCGATATTCGAACGCATTTTATTAACCGTCGTGCAAATATCGTACCAGAGAAGTGAAATGGGTGAAGGTTGAAGGTTGAAATGCGTGAAATGCGTTTATGAGTGAAATGCGCCAGGATTGCAAACATTTTCTTTCCACAAACAGCTGATACCTCCTCTGAACTGCGTTCCAGTGGTCACCGAAATCGGGACGAAATACGGCCTCCTCCAACCTCCTCAAAGCTTATCTCATCTTTTTTTCTGAGGAGCCAAAGGAACAGACCCATAGGGTCTGTTCCTTTGGCTCCTCAGAAAAAAAAGATGAGAGGAGCTTTGAGGAGGTTGGAGGAGGCCGTATTTCGTCCCGATTTCGGTGACCACTGGAACGCAGTTCAGAGGAGGTATCAGCTGTTTGTGGAAAAAAATGTTTGCAATCCTGGCGCATTTCACTCATAAACGCATTTCACGCATTTCAACCTTCAACCTTCACGCATTTCACTTCTCCGCTACGATATTTGCACGACGGTTAATAAAATTCGTTCGAATATCGGCTAACTTGCCTAGTTTCATCCGATAACTAGGCAGCATGATGCACCTGTTTTGTATTTGCCGCGCCATTTGTGTCGTCCATAGCCTCATCCGAAAAACCACCTTTCATTTCGGAGCAGGTTAGAGGAGGTTTTAGGCGAGCTTCAGAGGAGCTTTGAGGAGGTTGGAGGAGCCACTGGAACGATTTCATGAGCTTTGAGGAGCTTTGAGGAGGTTAGAGGAGCCAATGGAACAGGCCCATATTTCCAAAAAACTATTCTTTCGTCTCGTGTATTGAACACGTGAATTTAACCCTCGCACGACCAGGCCATTTCTCATAACACGAACGACCAGGGGGGGGGGGGGTTGTTACGACCCCCCCCTGGCGTTTCGAAACGGAAAGTCGTAGAGCTTAGCGGAAAAAAACCAACGGATTGCTCTCAACGAGATCTCGCGATTGGTGGTATATTTTGTGGTCCTAAGTCAACATTTGACCTACTTTTGACCGGTCAAAGGTCAAATTTTCGGGAAAATAGACTTTTTCAACTTTCGGCGGCGATTGCGGCAAAACGGTGGGAGATATCGACTTAAAACCTTCACTATCGTGTTCCTTGATCAATTCTCTATCGTTTGGTATGTATTTCGTTTCCCTAGCTCTAAAAATGGCGCGTTGGGAGCGCCGGAAGTCGGCAAGGTCACAGTCGGCGGCAGAAATTCGAAAAATCAAAATTTAAATTTTTGAAATCTGATTGTATTTTTGGATTTGGGAGGTCCATTTGCTCCCTATAGAAGCTAATATTGCTGCATATTCCCATTGAGGTGACAAGAATTAGCAAAATAGTGGTTCGGGCGCTTTTCAAAAATAGTACCGGACGCTGTTCCTCTTGTGACGTCATAGCTCCGCAACCTGACCTGACCCGGTCAAATTTCTTATACCATATGATAGCCAATACTTGCCCCAACATGCATGGGAAGTTTCATCACGATCCATCAACCGATGTCCGTACCACCGGCAGGAAACCTCGGGCGTTGGCACTCAGTTTGTGAAAATCCGGCCGGAGGCTGTACCTCTTATGACGTCATAACTCCGTGACCTGATATGACCCGATCAATTTTTTTTTTCGGCAAAAGATGCGCAAAGGTTGCCCCAGAGGGTATTGAAAATTTCAGCCCGCTACGACAAGCCGTTTAGCGTGCACTTCGAAAAAACCTCAGGGGGGGGGGGGTTGATACAACCCCCCCCTAGGCGTTCTAGGGTTAAATGCAGTAAGTACCTCCAAATACCAAAACAAATGTGTCAACATTTTCAGAAACACCCTGTACAAGGCGTAAAACAATGTGGTATTCAAAAAAGCCTTGTTATACAAATACAGAAGCAACGTGTACCAATCCCATCGCCTTTTTTCTTCCACCGGTATTTAACTGATCGCATAGGGGATGTACTGATTAGGAGCCGGAGCCGGAGCCGCCGGAGCCGGACCATTTTACTCGGAGCCGGAGCCGGAGCCGGAGCCGCCATGACATTTCACCCGGAGCCGGAGCCGGAGCCGATTTTTTTCTCCGGAGCCGGAGCCGGAGCCGGAGCCGTCTGAAATTTCCACGGCTCCGCATCCCTGCTTAAAATTAATACCATCTCATCCTTGTCGCCATAATGTAGTGACCGACGTCGCTATCTCCTTCTCGTGCCGCATCGCCTGCCCAGCCAGAGCCTCGTGTCCCTTCACCGAAGACTGTATTCACCTTCTCAAGCAGTCCCCTTTATGCCCTCCGCCCACGTCCGCAAAAACCGTCGCGCAGTCACCACTATAGAATACAACACAACTGTGGCGCACAACAAACTGAATCGTCTCTTCCAAGGCCGCGGATAACGCAGTCACTAAATCACTGCCGTATCCGATACTACACTCCTTTTCCGCTACGACACAACTTGCGACGGCATTGTGTCGCAACTTGCGACGTGTCGTAGATGGACTTGCGACGCCCTGGATCCCCCCGGCCTCAGCTATTGATAAGAGCAAGTCTACACAAAACGTATATCTTAGAATTAAGATATCGTTTACCTAAGATCGCGTCAATTTTACGACCTCTCTGAAAAAAAATTGAAAAGCTCCCTTTTGGACGAACGTCATTCTAAACACTTTCAAACATCGGATTACAAGTAAACATGACACACTGAACCGAAAAATGGCACCCGTGACCCCTCGCTATGTCCCTGAGGTCATCCCAGGTCACGAATGGTAACCAACAGTTTTCGGCTAATAACAGCTTTCATGGTATAGGCACGCTAGAACGATGAAAGTGTCTTAGATGTGTTCCGCTCGACGATGTGGATTACGGATCGACTGATATGCAGTACGCCCTGTCAGGCCATGGCCTTGACCTGAGGTCAAATTTTAAAGTTGACCTTTTAAGATCAAATTATAGTTTATTCGATGTGTTTTGATGATAGGAATACGGTGCTGCTCAAAGTAAAGTTGTGCTAATTTTTTATAGTAAAAAGTTGTTACCGAAAATCTGTTTCCACAAAAAACGTCTATTTTGACAGTTTCTGCCCTCCTGCAGCATAAACCGTAGAAGCTAGGTTAAATCTTAGAAAATTAGTCAGGAAAAGCGTTAAAAGAGCCATTGAGTGCGCTTTTTCAGCGGGGCTCTATCCGTTCCTGAGCTATGCGCCGATTTGTCGAAAATTGTCGAAGTTTGACCTGGAAAATGGCGACACTTTATCTTTGGTGACCTCTGGTGACCTGACCATTGACCTGCCCTTAAATGTGACAGCAGTAATTTCTTCATTATTTTACGCTCTTTCGAACAGCACCTACAGCGTGTCGCTACGTGGCCCAGGAGCCGAGTTAGTAGGGAGTTGGACTGGCCAATTTCACCACTGGCCACTTTGATCACTGGCCATAACGATCATTTCCACAAATATGGCCTACACATTCCTTGGACACTTCAAACACAGGACACTCCATCCATATAGCCTCTTTTGGACAATATGAACCAGCTGGCCTGTGTGAAAATATCCTATTTGCGGCCAATTGGCCACAATAGGACAATGAAATTTTGGGACGTTATGAACCATGTACCCAAGGCACTGGTCATTTCGAACACTTGGCACATCATGCCCTGGACATTATGAACCACGGCCAGAATGAATGCTCCCCGTTCAAACACCCCCTCCCCAGTAGGGCTTTGAAATCCAGGACCCCAGAGGGTCGCGGGTTAAAAACGCCCCCCCCCCCTCCGTCACGACGCGGGTTTACGGATAATTGTATCCCTCTTCACAGGATCCGGGATGACTGAAACGCCGGTGGATCACCCCCGATGGCCGACGTCTGGACTGGATGTTGTTATACGGCTAGCGACGGACACACTTCTGGACCAGCTGGCTGTTTTGGCGACCCACACAGTCACAGGACTGGCAATAGTTGGTGAGCAGCAGCATGAGTAAAGTATAGAAAGTTACGAAGTGTTGTGTATGTTGCATTATGAACGGGAGATGTTACTCTTCTGTTGTCTCAAATTACTCTAAAAGAATACAAAACTCATTGCGCCTGTCGTCCGGCTCTCGCCGGTATTGCATGCCTGTGGTGTCGCGACTGGGGCGCTAATTCATCGTTCGGTTAGGCACCTCAACAGCGACGAGCTCGATTTGCTCGAGGTTAACCAGTTAGAAGTGTGGCCCACATCAAGGAGTTCAGATTAAATGCTTGTGAGTTGTGGAGAACCCGATATTATGCGTTACGCGCTTCGTAATTATTTTATCTTACTGCTGGGATCTAGGCCACGGTGATCGCAACGTGTGTACATAAGCACTTATGGCTTCTGTATTTATGTTTTACAGACTCACCTTTCGTGACACCGGAAGCGACGGTACGCCTCCTGGCTGCCCTCATCAGCTTGAAGGACGTCACTTTTATCGGATCCGGCGTCATTTGCGACACTGTGCTAGCCGCCCTCCACGTCTGCTGCCAGCTGGATACGGTGCAGCTCAAAGACACCCGGCCCCTCACGGACATCCCTGCCCTGACCCAGTCAGAGGTGGCAGCGGTCAGCAGGTCAGTCGGCCGGACGGCGACGGCGGATATTAGGTGTATCTGGATAGACCGCAATAACCCCAGCGATAACCGTATTCGTTGGAGGTATACATAGGAGTACGGGCACAGGGACGTTGAAAATGAATAAAGCAATACAGACACTTTGATGCAAGTAATTAAATGTATATGAACACAAACAGACAGACAGACGGACGGGCAGATACGTAACTGCGCTGGTACTATTTTAATATAATATAGAAATAATGTATGTGGGGTCAGGGGTGGCATAAAACTCATTGTATCGTGTGAAACATTTGTAGCAAACTGCAGCACCAGACTGGGCCAACTTGAGATGGCCGGAGGCACACATGTTCTGTTATGAACGACATTGTAAATACATGGTGTCTCCGTGTTGAGTCGACCGCTGGTGCCACTGTGTGACTGTGTCCCGTATACTGACCTGTTCTGTTTTGTTATGATCTGTTGCAGGATGGCAGTGACCTGCAGGAAACTGAAGACACTGTTAATTGGATCCTCAACTGAAAACTACCAGGCCGTCCTGACCGCCCTGCACGAGACAGACCTGGGATGTGACAGTGGCCAGTCCCGTACCATCGATTTCAAGGTCCCAAGTAAGTGACCTCTGCCTCTGACCACCCACACCAGCCGACACGGCGCCACCGGCCTCTCGGACACACACTGACGCACGTGACGTCACCAGTACTGACGTCACACTTGGTGACGTGTATCCCCGTAAGTGGCGTCACGATATCAGTATCAGCCCTCATGACGTCATTACTCAGTGATACACACGTTGTCATTGTGTTCGTTTATGTATCTGTAGGTGACGTCATCAGTTTGAGTTGCCCCATGTAACATCACTAGCAATCAGTGTGTAATCTGACGTGTTCCGTTTCCAGAGTCTGTATACGACAAGCTTACCAAGCCTCCCAAACGCAGCAAAATCTCTTTGAAGTACTTTGGCTAGACGACTATCTTCCCGGTGCGCGTATTTACAAATTGCAACCGAGCTCCGCCGTGGGGTAAGGTGGGCAGGGGTTTTCGCACTACGGCTGCGGTTGAACTACCGTCTGTGGTAGAAACTTCAGGACGATGGCGCGTTTCATACGAAATCTGGCGCAATGTTTGTTTGCTTCTGAACTTGTACTGTTATTGCTGTGAATTCTTGAAGTGGGAGTGTTTCAATAACAATTGGTGGATTATTTGAGTTTCTTTATATAAACATAGAATAGTATCATGAAACATTGTGTGGAAACTGCAAATACTGATAATTGATATGATCAATTACTTAGTTTGGGAATTGATGCACATTTTGTAGAGATTTGTCTGGCAAATGGTGTAACAACCCTCAAGCCTATCATGATCTGAAGCTGTTGTAACAAATCAAAATTGCTTTGATGTTACATAGTACCTTGTTGGAAAGACTGGAGCATGGTTCAAGATGATGTGTAAAAATTCAAGATTGGTGCGAAAGCTTGTGACTGAAGAATGAAAGCAGTTCGATATGATGGCTCAATCAAACGTGGAAATGGACGTCAAAAGTAGAGTTTCAACGTTCCAGCATGTGAGAATAACTTCAGAAATTCATAGTTTTTGTAGTATTGCATTCTTTTTATGTACAGTTATAGGTTTTGTTAGGGTATTTCAAATTCATTGTGTCAGTTGAGATATAGATGGATTGCGGAAAATTTTAGAATCATTGCATGGTAGCTACCCAGTAGACATGCCGACGTCGGCCCGACGTCGGCCGACGTCGGGGTGACGTCGGCAACTCGGCATCGGCATGCCGACGTCGGCCCGACGTCGGTCCAACCTCGGCACGACGTCGGCTGGATGTCGGATATGCCCGCATGTTCCGACGTCCAGCCGAGGTCCAGCCGACGTCGGGCCGACGTCGGACCGAGATCAATTGCTGAGGTCCAGCCGACGTCGGGCCGACGTCGGGGCGACGTCGGACCGACATCGGCCGCTGTTTTGACCGTTAAAATAATATAAAATACATGTTTCATGTTTCATAAAGAGCTTCTGTATTCAAAATATCCTCAGGAAACTCAAATCTTCCTCCACGCCGCAACCCCCTGATCCGGACTGGACGGGAAACTTTATCCCAGTTGGAATTGCCCGTAAGCCGAGCTCGCCCGTAGCCGGGTGCGGTGAGTGCTTGGGGGCTGCTCGGCCTATCCTTTGGTCAGGCTCAGCCCCGGCAACTCATCAGGGCCGGGCCCAGTTCATATAGAAAGGCCAGTCGGCAAGTGTCACTTTGCCAAAATGCCGCTTATCAAAGGGACACTTTGGGAAACGTTGGTGCAGGTGTGTAAGAGTGGCTATATAAATCCATTGTGGGGTCGCCCTTTCCAATAAGTGTCACGTAACAGCAATGGGACCAGGGACTCTATATGAACTGGACCCAGGGTGCTCGCCAAGAAGACCAATGTCTCCATCCTATGATCCTTCCTTCCGGCTCTGAAATGGTCTTGTCAGACCGAAAGGGCATAACCCAACAAAACAAACCAAGTTCGTTAGCTGGCTGCGTGGTGTAGTGGTTAGCGCACTAACCTCGCGTTAGAATGACACGGGGTTCGAATCCCATCGCCGGCTGATGCTTTTGGCGTGTTGTCCCAGTATGCGACGTCGGCGACTGGGGGGCTCGAATCCCGCCGCCGGTTGATATTTTTGGCGCGTTGTCCCAATAAACATGCCGACGTCGGCCCCGTCGGTCCAACGACAAACGATCTCGTCAACCTCGGCAAACGATCTCGGCCCGACGTCGGCTCGACGTCGGCTGGACTTCGGCTGGACGTCGGAACATGCGGGCATATCCGACGTCCAGCCGATGTCGGGCCGAGGTTGAACCGACGTTGGGCCGATGTCGGGCCGAGCCTCGGCCCGACGTCGGGCCGACGTCGGCATGTTTACTGGGTAGGTACTTGTTCGGTAAAAAGGTATGTGATGAATGCCATGAGAAGGTTTTTTATGATTCAATATATGGTCGTTGTTGTACCTACAAAAATGCAAGCTTACCAGCAACTACACCTTTTTAGGCGCAATTTCAAAAATTTAAAGACCAAATTCAAAAAGTTTACATTCAAAATGCACGTGAACGTTTTGAATTTGGTCTTTAACTTTTTGAAATTGCGCCTAAAATGCTGTAGTTTCTGAATCAAATCGAAAGTATATTTTGCCATGAATGTAAATATGTACCTGCAAAGTATGTCAATAAATTTGTGTGATGTTGACCAGAGAGTTTTATCATCTAGGCATTTATGTCGCTTCTTACATTAGGTGTTAAGCATAGTAATTACGGATGAATTTTGTGCCAATATCTTCAATGCACAATGTATGTAGCATGTCTACAACCCTCACTGATCCTGCTATAGCTATAGGCATTTGGCACCAGCTTGACCAAGGGCATGAACTTCACAGTTGCACAACCTTTTGTCATGTACCACCACCAGTCACTTTTTTACTTAAGGTGCACACAACAATGTGCAGAGGGCCTACACAAAAACAACATGATTAGTGTGCACTATGCACAGCATTGTACCCTGATTATTTGAATATTTTGATCACTCAACAGTCAGCAGTCAGGAGATAATCATTGAATATCACATTTATTATACATCACTTGTCAAACAAGAGCATGATGACACACATTTTGACAAGCAATTCCAATAAGTTGGACAGTCACCTCCCTGGGCGTCATTTTTCCAGGAAGGTACCTACCTCTGCAGGTATTGTGGTAGGCTAGGTTGAATTGGGTTAAGTTAGGCGAAGTAAGGTGGTTAGGACCAGGTCAGACTGTAAGGCCTGGTCAGGTTGATTTTAATCTTTCATTCTAATTTGACATAGATACCTGTCACCTATGTTTTTGCTCAAGCCTGAATTTCATTAGGTAATGAGTTAATTTTGCTTTGTTTTTATCTGTCTTGTTTGGTGTTTTTGTCCCTTATATTTTGCCGCCCCATAGGCAAGGGTGGAGCTTTTCCAGGGAAGGTGGTGGAGCATGATTGGAGGCGCTCAACCAGACGGCATAGGAGGGCACGGTTTCTGAACGCGTACTGATGCCTGATTCAAGCCACGCTGTCTTCATGCGGGGCGGCGCGCTACTTAACCCTATTAGTGGCAGGCTCCTGGCTACCCCTATTAGTGGCAGGGGGGGGCTGTTTACGACCCCCCCTTGATATCTCGAGATCTAACGGGCCGATTTTCAAAATTCAAACGGCATTCGACTTCGCTCAACGTGATCTACATTTCTAAAAAAAAAAAATTAAGAAAATGTCAAAAGGGGGGTTGAGGGGGGTAAAAACGGGCAAATTGCAGATACATTTTAGACTGCTTATCACGGCCAGGTTTCTGAACCAATCTTAACGTAACTTTTGCCGATCGATAAAGAATGAACCAGGAATTCACATGGATCCTAAAAATATGCATTTTCAAAAATCATAGGCGGATACAGATCATTGAGATTGGGGGTACACAAAAAGTATAGCAAATAAGGTTTTTGTTGGTACTGTTTCTAAAAAGGGTGGTAATGGTCTTGTTATGTTACAATTTTCTTATGAGAGAACGACTACAATTGTATTGGTCATGCATAGGCGGTGTCAGGGCACCTATGTTGGGAGGTAAAACATAACCCCCCTTTTTGGACGCCTGGATCCGCCTATTATAGCAAAAACGTGTCAAAAGAGGATGCACAATAACTTTGTATATGTTATCACATGATAAAACTGGTGCATACAGTTATAATACATCAGCATCGTGATCATCGCCCAAATGACTCGCTTCACGAATAGGACCCCCCAATTCCCAGTGCTCTGGAGCCGCCCTTGGTAAAGTTATGAACTTGAAATTTTCAGGGAATGTGCCCAATTTAGTTTTAGGAAAAGTCAGAAAATTTCAGCATCGTAGCTTCAGCGGTTTCGGAGATATTCCCGAAAAACCTGAGGGGTGGATGAAAACAACCCCCCCCCTGCCACTAATAGGGTTAACCCGCGCCCTGCTGGGGGGGGGGGGTGTTTGAACACCCCCCCTGTGGTTTTTCGCGAATATCTCAAAAACGGCGGCGCGGAGCGCCGCCGTTTTTGGTACACCTTATCATACATCGATTCTACACATGTTGTGAAAATTTCAGACCAAGGTCATTCAAGGTCAGGTCACCAGGTCACTCGAAGTGACCTCACCTCATAAAAAGTTTCAATGTCTGTCATAGCTACACCGAGTGACCGATCGCTTTGAAACTTTCAGCGATTGCTAAGAGCATTAGCATGTACAAAATGTTTATCTCAGAATTTTGATATCGATGACCTAAGGTCAGGTCAATTTTGCGACCTCACCATTATAAGTCAATGGGAGAAAATTGAAATGCGCCTGTTTTGGACGAAAGACATTATAAACACTCCCAAACACTGAATTACAAGTGGTTTAGACACACTGAACATGAAAATGGTGTCTGTGACCCCTGTTTATGCCCTGAGGTCATCTTAGGTCACGAATGGTATCTAACAGTTTTTCGCAAATAACTTTTGATAGAGGCATGCTAGAGCGATGAAAACGCCTTAGATGTGTTCAGCTCGACGATACGGATCGACTGATATGCAACATGACCCTTTCCGGTCAGGTCATGACCTTGACCTGAGGTCAAATTTTCAAGTTGACCTTTCAAGGTCAAATTATAGTTCGTTCGATGCGTCTTGACGAGAGGAACACGATGCCGGTAAAAGTAAGCTCTTACAATGCTTGGGTCAAAAGTTATTGCAGAAAAACTGTTTCCGAAAAAATCGGCTATTTTTGCAGTTTTTGCCCCCTGCAGGCAAAACCGTTGACGTTAGGTCAAATCTGAGAAAATTACTCAGAAAGGGCGTTAATAGGGCTATCGAATGCGCTTTTCCGCGGCGCTGTAGCTCTATTGGTTCCCGAGTTATGCGTTGGCTTCTTGGAAATTTTCGACATTCGACCTGGAAATCGGCGAAAATTTGCCTTCAATGAC